GATACAAGTAGAGAAAGATTCAATCAACAATTTGTATTTATTTTTAAATAATTGCATAGTAGCACAGCCGTAATCCAGGAGTGAATAGTTAAATAATGAAAAGATAGTGGGTGGAGTCACAGTGTCAAATAATAAAAAATCTTTTCAAGCATTAAAAATCCTTAAATAACCTCATCTTGTTCACTTTGCGTCATTTTTCTCACCTAGCCTATGGCCTTGAACTCCACCCCTGTCTGTCTTCACTTGCTTTGTGTCACTCCCTCTTTTCCTTGATGTTGGTCTCACACAGAACCTTGCATAACTCTTGGCAGCAGTGTTACAATTCACCATAATGTGGAATAATTTGCTCTCTAATACTCCAAAAGACTGCCAAAGGACATTCAGTGAAAGGCAGTCCTCATCCAGTTTTGAGAAATAGCATTCAGAACCATGTCAGTGAGGCCACTAAGAAAATAGGCTGCCAAGTCTCACTCTTAATTCCCTTTACATCTTGCTCTCTCTCGCTCTCTCGGTTGTAGCCCCTCTTGGGATAAGCCACTCCCTCATAGATCTTTAACCTCAGCACGTCACAGAAAGTGTCCAATTGGCTGCCAAACGCTTACATAATCACTGTCTCCATGGTTATGTAAGGCATGCACGGGCCTACACCCTCCCCTCCAACCTGCAGCTCTGTCTGAGAGGAGGGGCAGTAGTTGGGTTTGTGGATCAGTGGAACATATGGGTTACGTGTAATCTGTGTTTATGCACATGCATGTGTGTCTGACTAAAAGTGGAGTCTGTAGGAGTTATTTTACCCTGTTGATTTATTTATTTGGCATTTTTCTTCTTTCTCTTATGATTCTTTCCTATGCCCTCCAGAGAAAAACAAATTAGGGCAGATTTATTTACAGTGAGGGCTCAAGATTGCCTAACACCCATGTACATCAAGAAACAGATTGCAAAAAATGAATATTATGTTTGTTTTGAGTAGGTGGTGGACATTATGCGTGTTAATGTGGACAAAGTGCTGGAGCGTGATCAGAAGCTGTCTGAACTGGATGACCGAGCCGATGCACTCCAGGCTGGAGCCTCCCAGTTTGAGACCAGTGCAGCTAAGCTGAAAAGGAAGTACTGGTGGAAGAACTGCAAGGTGCTTAAACAAAGTTTGGTTCAAAAGTCACACACTTTCCACCACTTTAAATAACAATTACTCTAACTGATATGATGCACTCTATTTTTAAAGTCTTCAAAGACTGAGGTTTACTAAATTAATTGTTTTTATTTAACTACACAACTTACAGTATATATTTGCATGACTTATGGTGAAGACTTCCTGTTTTTATTCAACAAAATGAGGAGGTATTACAGATATAGTTCTTGTGTAATAACGTAGAAATTATCTTTAATTGTTTCAGATGTGGGCGATCCTGATAGCTGTCATTGTGTTCATCATCGTCATCATTATTAGTGAGTATTAAGGACGTGCTCATCAACAGTGTTGTTACAGTTTGTGTTACTTCAAACATAAAACCAAGCATTAAGAACTGTCTACAGTGTTGTAGTTTCGCAAACTGTGTTAGGTGTACTGCTACATTGGTGCTCTTTTAAGAGGCAAACACACATCAACTGTTCAAGATCATGTGATGTGTCATTTGATGACTTATCTGATAAGAGTTATAAAGTTTACGGACTTTGCCCCCAAACATTCAAAAAGCTTTATTTACTTAAAGTTTTACATCTACTATCCATACTATTCCCCCATCATTATTCATGCTAGTTCATGTTATGGATGCAGTAAGCCAAGAAGAAGTACACCCAATTACATAATGCAGCCTCTGTCTTTTGCCTTTATGGAATTCCCCCCCACAGTTCCTTTAGTGTCATATCTCTCTTTTATAATGTCTTATATAAAACATTTGGTTTAAACAAACTTGTTAATTCATTCACAGTCTGGAATTACTCTAAGTAAGCAACAGGAGGAGGAGGGGTAGAAGACACGATAAAGAAGAGAAGTGGAGCTATGTGACTCGTGTCTCAGAGTAGCTCCACATTTTCCACCTCTACAGGGGTCTTCATTCTTTGTTCTGGATTGCCCTGTGTGTGCGTGTGTGATTGCTTATGTGCCTTAGTCACAGTTTTAACCTATAACATTACAAAATTCCAGACATTACTAGGATATATACATACCAAAGAAAACAAACATATGTACAGAAATGTGTTTATAACTTGACTAAAGCCCAGTTATAAATATGAGTCTAAACAGACTTTGGCAGAACACACACACACACACACATACTCAAACCTTAAGACTAGAATTGAAGAACATTGTAAACTCTCCTCAACTTGTATTTTTATATTTTATTAACAATTGTTTGATTCCGTGTGCCAGGCTAAAGAAGTGCCTTTAAGGATTAGCTGTTCAGTGGTATAGTTTAGATTGTAACAGTAATCCTGCGTATGGTGGAAGAGATGCCCCTTCCCAGATTTAAAATATTTCTGCTCTTGATAGTGTAACACCAGTATTTTTTTCCTCTCTCATGCTTTTTCTTACTTAATTGGTCAGCTTTACAAATATTAGTGAAATCTAATAACCATGTGCAGAAATAAAATGAGTAAAGTGCTGATCAGGTCCAATGTTTAAGGAGTTAATGTTAGATCTGAATGAAGAGGAAAGTCATTCTGACAACACAAAGCTTACTGGTAATGGGTAACGTACTGTTGAACCACCTCACTGTGTCCATTCCTGTTCATGTCATTTTCAGGCAGTAATTGGGATGCAGTTAAAGTTTGCATGAGCTTGTGTTTAGATTAAGTGCTGGTCATGTTTACTATAAGTAGCATCCACATTGCCTGACAGATTTGCCATAAAATGTAAAAGGAAAAAAAAATACACAGAAGTGCCATCATGAGGTATCAAGAGATTAATTATCTCAATTAGTTGCTCTTAAGTGTGGCAGAAAAATGGCCTTTATGTAATAATAATGATCAACAATTAAGAGGAAAGAAAATCTGAGGTTTAGCTTTAGACTTTGATAGATGTCTCCAATGGAGAACAGCCAAAAATGCAGCCATACCTTCTGAACACATGTACCAGCCAGCCAGAGAACAAGTAGTGCCTTGTGAGCTCCCTGTCCAGCAGATACTGTGCAGCTAGCCTGTGCTATCAGTTGAATTTAACCTTTAATAAAGACCTTTGGATCAACGCCAGTGTGAAGAAACATTCTTGTTGATGCACAATGCTTCTAACACAAAACAATTAAAAATTCTAACATGCCATATTTGTCATACAGTTATTTGCATTCTGTTAAATGTAGAGTTGATCATAGTTAGGCTATAGTATGGGTTTTTGGGGGTTTTTTTGTTTTGTTTTTTTTGGGGTTTTTTGAGATGTTTAGGTCAGTACTGCTGAGCATCATGGGTGATATAGAGTGGAAATATTTTGTTGGTCCATGGCATTGTGATACATGTGACACTAACACTGGATTTGGGATTGCTTTGTATATTATTTTCACTCTGTTTGGTATTTAAAGCTCCTGTTTTAGGCTACAGTTTCAGGATTTTTTTTTTTCTTGACTTCTAGCAATCATTAGCTTCCCCCCCCCCCCCCCTTTCATACTTCTTGCTTGTTTCTGATAGAGAAATAAACACTAACACAAATATGTACTCACCCGCACCCTTTTCTCTTTCTGTTAAGCATGCAGATTTAATCAGACTGCAGCCACAACTAAAATTTGTAGGCATGGAAATGCTTTTATGGGCCAGCTTTTTATTAACCATACATGGAATTGTCAACCTCATCCCTTTTTTTTTTTTTTTTTTCCCCCCCCCCCCCCCCCCACACACACACACACACACACAGAATTTAAGGTCTTATAACTTCCAAGCCTTGCTTCACTTTTGGGAATTTACGTGGAAATATGTGCAATTCTGCTCTGTGGGCCCTAAATTTATTTTTGCTTGAATAAAACTGATGTTAAATTAAAGTGTCCTCTGATTTTTCTCATCTGTGACGTAACAAACGCCAGCTATTCCTTTTTCCAAAAGGAGCCATGATGGCAAAATCATTTTTATTGGAGTCATTTAAAGATAAATTCCTTCAGTGTGACATACAATGGTGTACAGTCCAGCAGTTTTTACACAAGTACTGTTGAGGTTTTTTTGTTGTTTTTTTTGTTGTTGTTGTTGTTGTTGTTGTTGTTGTTTTCCCCCCATGTTTCCTTCCTCTTTTTTTCCATCTCAGTTCCACTCACTTGAAGGTCTTTAGGATAACCCCATCAGTTCTAACGATTATATATTTTATTATTATTTTATTTTGGTTTTACAGAATTGGGAAATTTTCAGTTCAGGTTTAATTTAAATGCAGATTTAACTGAAAAAGTCAAATTGCAATAAAGATGTGGTAAAATAATATATAACAGCTGCTCAAGTGTTGTGCTTTCAAGCAAATGTCATTGTGTCATAAAGATAATCAACATGACAACTGAGAATAATTAGATTGCATATTATTGTTGCAAATTTTTAAAATATAATGTAAAATAATATTATTTAAAATTAATGAATAAGGATATACAAGTATGTGGCATTCTTTGCCTTCCTTTTCATTTGCTTAATGACAAAATCTATTAAAATTACTGATAGCTCCCATTTTCTTGTAATTTTTATTTTTTATTTTTTTTACTTAAGAGACTTTACTAAGATGATGTTCAATAACTGACAACAATTTAACCAAACAAAAAGAAGTCAAATGTCCAAACTCCCTGCTACGTGCACTGCAGCAGCTGGACCATGCAACGACTCTGTTCATTCATTTAGCGGTAGGGGCGGGGACGCAGCGGGCTGGTAGTGTCAGTGCTCGCACAGTGTGCTTCAGGCTTGTTGTTTCTCGGTTATGTAACATGGGAATCCACGTGAATCGCCAGCAAGCCACCCAACAGGCATGCCGCAGCAGACACGCCTACATCTGGTTTGCTATCCAATCAAATAATAAATGTAAAACCCACCTGCCCAATCATCGCTTAATGGGCGTGGTTATGCTATGCCGGGCTCACGTTGCACAAATGTGTCCACCGCTCTGGGATGGATGACGACGTAGCTACGTGACTGAGATATAACTGAAACAAAATACTTTCTGATGCGGTCCGGTGATCAATTAAGGAGACTCGTAACTTTTTAATCTTGAGCCAAGACACGCGTGGAGCGGGAAAGGTAAATATTCCACCAAAAGACGAAAAATTGGGGGCGTAATTGGTGAGTTAGCTTTCTCGATAAACTAGCTAACCACCTGACGCACGGCTTCAGCTAGAGACAACAGTGGATGTAAACATGTGAAATTGAATCATTGCCTTTTTTGTGTGCTATGAAGTCGTTGCGAATGTGTATTATTGTGGTTTGGGCTTTTTGCTTCTCCAAGGAGTGAATGCTGACTTGACTTTAAGCAGTGGTGTAAGCAGTGTGTGTTGCTCATGTTAGCTGTATAACGTCTGCCGTAAGTCAGGGGGCTGGAGCTCACGGGTTGCGCTGTGTTGGCTGGCAAGTTGGTAACAAACTAAAGCTTTTGTTGCTCAGATTTGCATACGGTGCGTTACTTAAAAAGCAACCTATTATACTTGCTAATACAGTAGCTAACAGGCTATCAGTTTATTGCGTTATTGCGACCTTCGTATCCAGTTACTGTAGGGGGCGCTGTTTTCACCAAGCAACCCGAACTCTCACGGCGGTTAAAAGGTCTTAACACTAAACTACATTAAGTTTTAGCTTTGTCCAGATGTGCTTACACAGCAGGCATGATGAGGCATGGGTGCATATGATTATTGAGATTGGCATGATTACATGAGTGGGAGTTAATTGCCCTCACTAAATGCTGTGTTTGTATTTTACTGTCTGAACCTTTCTGATACTTCCATAGACAGTGCAGGTTTTATACACACTGCGGATATTGCCCCTGATAAATACCCAGTATATTACAGCAACCCAGCTAAACCTGGCACACAAAAAACCCAAACAAACTGAAAATAAACTAATGGGAATTAATTGAAAAAGAACTAAATAAAAATAAAATAGAAATTTTAAAAATGTATATGAGAGGTCTTGATAGATAAAGCGCTATGTAATAACTCTGGGTAGGGGACTTCACTGAAACTAGAAGCTGCCCAGTGGCAAGTCAGGTGTGGTGCTATAGCTTCCACCTGAGTGGAGTTGCTGTCACTCCTTCAAAGCATTGTGAGGTGGCCTCTGGACTTACTTGGGTCACTGGGTTCATATGGTGAGGGGGAGTAAGTTGTAGGCTTCTGCTGAACGTTAACAATAAATTTTTTAAAAAAGCCTGTAAAACAGGTAATAATGTTGACTTTCAGTTTTGCTTGTGCAATGGCTTATCTTAGCTTTTTAGGTGACTTCTGGAAGCAGTCTGTGATGGTGTTGAGCTGTGTTGCAGTGTGCATGCAGGTTCAAGTACAGAGCAACAGCCTAGGTCAAGTGTGTTGTTGTGCTGCATAAGTGAGAAAGGACCACAGCATCCTATGTATGCAACAACAATCACGCGTTGTGTTGTGCACGTCAGTACATGTATAATATCTCAATAGCATAATGTTTTATGCATTCTGAATTGAGCAAATCAGTTATGTAACCCTCCTATGAAGACCTGATGAACGATGCAGGGTATTTTCACTCCCTCCTGCTTTTGCTTCTCAGTTTCTGTCCCTCTGTCTTTATTCTCAGTGTCTGGTCTCAGTGCCATATGGATGTGGTGGCAGCTGGAGTTTGTTTAATTATACCAATACCATAGAGAAAAAAACTCGCCCAAGATGGCTGGAAGACAAGCGATTTCCTCTGATGACTCTGATGAAAATATTGGATAAAACAGCCTATAGAATCACAGGGTTTGATTTTTTTTAAAAACCTGCATTTGCAGGGATTGCAAAAAATGTAAATGCATAATTAGTAACAGCTATTATGTAACCCAGTATCACATTATTATATCTGGCAGAGCCTTACCTGGTCTTGGCAGTATTGATGGATGAGATGTGCATAAATCGCAGATGCTGGGAGAGAGTCAGAAAGCAGTGAGTCAGTTTTATGGCCAGACAGCTGAGTAGTATTAAATAACATGGCAGATTGTGTTTGTTCACATTTGCACAGAACAATTTTTACTTGTTTATGTTTGGCAATAACATGCTCGTACTTTCAAAAGAAGACAAGTGTTTGCTTCCAATTTTAAAGCCTTTGGCACATCACCCATGCCCCAAGTTTAAAGTGGACATGTGAATATATTTCTAGCTCTATATTTTTTATTCTAGGACTGTAGGCTTGTAGTAGCTTTCTAAAATTTGTAATTCACCATAATCCTCAGGCCCTCAGTTTATTCTCCTTGACTCATGCTGTTTTACCTCTCATTGGAGGAAACCCTCCCTTTAAAGCAACTTGCTTATGATTGGATGGTCCTACAAGCAGAGGAATTGAATGTGAGGTGGATGGAGATTCCAACTGGGGATGATTCTCTGCATATGCTGTTAATATCTTTGGAAATGTATTTTGCCACTTATTTGAGAAAAAGTTCACTGGTAAGATTCCCAACTTTCATGATTGCCAACTGTGAATTTTGCCATGCTGAAGATTATCTGTTTCCAGGTCGCATTGGCCTTTAAGGTGTCATGCATGATCTGCTTAATTAGGTAGGTTGACTTAATGATGACCTACAGAAGTGTTAAAGTTTTTCCAAAAAGTCACACTTTAACAAGAAGTGCTGTTGAAAAATGTAAGAGAAAAGATCTGTCACTGCACAACACTTTATTAAAAAATATGTTTTCACTGGCTAAATCTGAAATGAAATACTAACACAAGGACGTGTTTGTGGGCGTAATGCAAGAACAGGATCCTCAGTGTCATTGGTGGTCAGAGACCAAGCCAGCTGAGATCTGCAACAATAACGCTTTAGTTTCGCTGTTTAAACATGAATGTTTTCAATTTGTAAGGTGTAAAATACAGTTTTAGAGTTGGCTCCTCATAAATGACATTAAGTTTACTACAGTTTACTTAAACTAAGCTACAAACTGAAACTAGATGTGGAAAAAAAACATGTACCAAAAAGAAAATAACAACAAGACTTTTGAAAATAAAAAACTAAGTGAACTTGGAATATTAGATATATATATATTAAATATATATATATATATATCATATTTATAATATTTATAATATATATATTATTATATATATATATATATATATATTATATGGCGTTTTTAGTTAGGTAAAAATGTTATCACGTCTTGCCTGATGAGACATCGATGGATGTGTTTTGAGAGTCTACACGACTGAGAGTAGACCAAAAATATTTATCACGATATACATTTGAAAATTTGCGATAACGATATAACTGACGATATAATTGACACTAGACAAAATACTTTACAACTCCTCAACTTTATTAGTGCAAAAAAAAAAACCATCAATGTATTTTCACTTAAACAAGCAGCTTTTTTAAGTGCATTAAGGTTATATAAAAAATTAATAGTGCAAATGCAAATTCCTTGCTGACAGTTTAACCAAAAGGCATTTCCAGTGGAAATTGGCTGACATATCCTCAGCATAACCATATCCACAAAACTTAAAAAGAGGTTATACACACACAGTACGGTAATATTATCTTGAAGCACAGTACGTATCACTCCGCGAGGCGCCTGCCTACGATAGCCGTAATGCTCCGACAATCCATCAAGCGATGCGGGTTCGTAGCTTAGCAAAGTCGTACTGAAACATTTGACAGATATTCGAGCACCATGTACCACATAAAATCAATTAGAGGTCAGTAAACATAACCAGAATTCATACATAAGGCACACGGGATTATAAGGGGCACTGTCGATTTTCAGAAAAATCAAAGGATTGATTTTAAGTGTGCCGTGTTCTCCAAAAAACACGGTAATAACGATGGCCCGCTAGCATGCGCTACCAAAAATAGTGCTTTGTTGTGTATCTGACGGATGAAAGCCTAACCAGTTCCACACCACTGAAGCTCCAGCATTTTTACAAACCAATTCTGGTTCATCTGTTTCAGTTAACAATCCACTTTCGCTCTTCTCATTCTGCGTCACCGCCATGTGCGTATGTAAACAAAGGCACTGCGCATGCGCGTTTTACCCATATTCTATCACGATATTTCATTTTCTTATCATTGCTCAACAGTACACCGGTATTACCGTGAACGGTATGATATAGCCCAGTCCTAACTGAGAGACAGCTGCTTTCATAGAGTTCAGTGTTTCTGTTGTACTACCTGTTAGGGCTGTTCGATATAACGATATATATCGGATGACAATATAAAAACGTCTATCATTTCATTTTACGCTATTGTTTGTTTCGTGGTGTCGCAAAATAAACTGTTTACGGCAATATTTGTTTCATTGTTTTGATGGTCACTGTAGTGGGTATATTAATTTCGTAAAGTTCTCTCTTTCTCTTATATAACTGCACTACGGACGGACAAGAGCCTGTTTTTATGCGTTGTGGTTAGCAACAATGACGGTAACAGCATCGCGTGTCCGCTTGTTTATGTTCCACATAAACCTTTCACAATAAAGCTCAAGATCCTGTTGAGACTTTTCAAAATAAACTGAATCACGTGAAAGAGCAGATTATTTACTGATGAGAAGCAAAAAAGAGTATAGTTTCATGCATCGCTTAAAACACTCGACTCCAGCTACATGACGCGCAGCTGGAAACACTTCCCGCAAGATGAGCTGCCCGAGATTCACAGAATTTACAGAAAATGTTACATTTTTGTGATTTATATCGTTATCGGGACGATGGAATTCTTATATCGGGATATGAGATTTTGGTCATATCGCACAGCCCTACTACCTGTACTGATTTTCCTAAATCTTGCCTCTGGCATAACATAAAACTTGATTAGTCCCACACGTGGGAAATTTGTTCCATATACCTTCTATGCAATAATAACTAAACTCAGGCTTTTTGTTTATTTTCTTCTGTTTGCAGTGGAAAAAACAGACCACTTCATCCAACATTCAGCACTGACTGAATGAAAGTCAATTCATTGTTACCACATGGAACCCATTCCCTTTGGTTGAACATATGAAGACCCTTACCGACTATTGTAACTGGAAAGAAAAATAATTGATGTGTGACCAAAGTGTGGTGATGCCAGGAGGTGACAGCGGACTACATGGCGAGGAGCCTGCATTGCTGTCAGCCACAGCGAACGGTGGAGAGGTGGAGCAGGAGTTGTCCGGGAAGCAGAACGGCAGGGAAACGTCCAAGCACCTCGGGGGTGAAGAAAGTGGAGTTTCAGGTGAAGAGGTGGGTCAGGAAGATGAAGAAATGGCGAGTGGTTCACACGACCTGTGTTCATCAACCAATCACAGCCCTGGGAGCGCTTCGGGATCCACCTCAGTTTCAGCTAAGAGGTATTTAACTCCATGTGCTCTCACCATTTAGCCTTTTTTGGGGACTTTCTATGGTGCCTTTCTGACCCTAATTTCTGCAAAGATCCACAACACCACGTGAGAGCTTTTTATCTATTACTATTGCTACACTGTTAGCATGTGGCTCTGACAAGTGGAGTACAGCACACTGTGACAACAGCCAGGGTTTTAACTTTCTTGCAGCATTGCAAGAATTTTGGCATAGAAGAAAACAAGCCAGAGTTTCCCAAAATAAACTGGAAAGATGCTTTTTACCAGCTGATCCTGAAGTTCTGCGTCTGTGCTATGATCTATTCATGGTATAATGGTGACAAAAATGCTAACTATGTCAGACAGAGTGAATCTTAACTACTTAAGTAACTGTGAGAAATACTTATCTTTTTATGCTGTTTCTGTGCATATGTAGCAGCGAGCATGCAGAGGCTGGCAAAGGGCAGGACCACAGAGAGGTGATGAATGCAGTGGCTGAGATGAAAAAGAGGCTTCCATCAGACAAACGCAGCCGCAGCAAAGCCAGCACTGTGGAGGCCTTACATTACGCGCTCAACTGTGTCAAACAAGTGCAAGGTAACCTGACTAAATACAGAAGCGTCCATGTAGAATCTTAAGAAAACACTATTTATTTTTCTCCAAATACTGATACTGTTTTTGTGCCTTGGTTTGTCACCTGTAGCTAATAGTGAATACTATAAATTGCTCATGCAAAATGGGCAGGACGAGCGGAGAAATGCCACTGTTTGCACCCTGGAAGAGCTGGAGAGAGTCACCTCAGAACACACCCTTAAAAATACGGTATGCACATCAAACTTAGATGCACAGGTCACAGGTTCTGATGTTATTGTCCCTTTTTTAATGCATCACTGAAGACCCACTAAGCATTTGTTTAGAGCTGTTCTGAAATCCTGTTTTGAGGCAGTCTTAAAGATGCAAATACACATGCATATGTACATTTATTTTGCCTCACTCCTGAGCGGGTGTGTGAGTGTATGTGTGTTTATTGCTTTTGTGTGTGTCTGTGACTTTGCTTGCTTGTGCATGTTCTTCTGGGTGCGTACATCTCTTTACCTGTTTGTAGGATTCCTTCGTGGTGGTTTTCTCCCTGGCCAGCGGCCGCGTCCTCTACGCGTCTGAGCAGGCTCCCAGCATCCTGTGCTGCAAGAGGAAGTTTCTGGAGTCCGCCAAATTTGTGGAGCTGCTCTTCCACCAAGATGTCAACGTCTTCTATTCACACACTGCGCAACCCCATTTGCCACCTTGGAGCAACTCGCACACAGGTGCTGTATTTTATTTATTTATTTAGATTAAATAAATAAAATACGGCACAGGGACGGCACAGTTTTGTTTTTTAAGTTAGTTTGCACATGCTAGTGTCTCAGTGGGTATCTAACAGAAATAATGAAAGAGAATATGGCTAACTGACTTCTCTCGCTTCTTTTTCTCTGTAGCCGGCGTTTTGTTTGATTGTGCCCAGGTCAAGTCCTTCTTCTGCCGAATCAGGTCAGTACTTTTTTTTTTTTCTTTTCTACATATCCCTTAATTCCTTAAACAATTTTTTTTTTTAAATGCACATTTAATAAAATATATGAGCTAAATTCCATTAAACCCTACATCTGATGTTGCCCTTGTGTATCCAGACTATAAACTGCAGTAATTTCAGGGTTTTTAAATTATGATTGTTGTTTTTTTTATTATTAGAATTGTGTAACGTCTACAAGCTTATGCAACTGTTACAAAATTTCCTGCAGGGTGTAATGAAGTTTCGTTCTGATTGTCAACTCTTCCTCTATAAGGAATTCCATCAATACATGCTTTTTAATGAATGTGTCTGTAGAAACTGTGCTCGGTCCATGGTGTAGTGGTTAACACATTCATTTTATGTGCAAAAGATTCCTAGTCTGAGACCAGGAGGAGACACACGCCTGGATAAATATGAGGGTTGCGTTAGGAGGGGCTTCTGGTGTAAAATGTGTGCCAAATCAAACATGATTATCCATCAGCTCTTGTGACTGAAAGTACCTCCATAGCCATAGAAAATATTCATTTCACACATTCTTACAAGAATTAAATTAGCTGTCATCAACTTGTACCAATAGATATCACTGAAATTTGAAGTAATTGTTTTCATTTTTCATTAGATCTTTATTTTAGGGTTTGAAACTGGTGCAGGTAACGTTTCCTGTTTTCATCTTTGATCACAATAAATTCGGATATGATTTTTGTGTCTTGTGTGTTTTAGGGGTGGGAAGGATCGTGAGGGTGAGATGCGTTACAACCCATTTCGGATAACACCCTACCAGCTGAAGGTGCAGGGATCTGGGAGCAGTGGGGAGGAGGAGGAGCCGTGCTGCCTGGCACTGGCTGAACGCATCATCTCTGGATATGAAGGTATGATACCGTGTTTGTCTTTTAACATGCAGCTTTGATGCTCTGATAGATCAATGCAATTTTATCTATAATAACCCCAAACACTTTCTGAGAAACTCTTCTGGTATTTCTGATGAACTTATAACCACTGTTTATTCATGTTTTGCACTGGTGTTTATATGATTTGTGTCTGCAGCACCTCGGATTCCCATGGACAAGCGCATCTTTACCACAACACACTCCCCTGGTTGTGTGTTTCTGGAAGTTGATGACAGGTCAATACACACAAATTTCCAGTCCCAAGCTTTGAAAATTAATGGCAGTGTATGAAAAGAGCTGATTTTTATGCTGACTGTTCACAGGGCCGTGCCTTTGCTTGGATACCTTCCTCAGGATCTGATAGGCACGTCGTTGCTGACTTGCATTCACCCAGAGGACCGCCCCCTCATGCTAGCCATGCACCGGAAAGGTGAGTTTGTGGGGAGGATGAGTGCAAAAGTTTAGTCTGCTGATAAGAAAACTCTGCATTTCAATGAGCTGACTCAAATTGTATATTTAAATAGATAGATATTCTCTTTTTCATTATACTGTACAAAATGCCAGACAAATAATAAAATAGCTAGTAGTAGTAGTAAATTAATCAACCAAAGCAAGGTGTTTATCCTAAGCATTTACACACGCTTTGAAATTATAAGATTTTACCTTTCATCACATAATAAAAATTAATTAATTAATTAGACAAAGATCAACCTGAGGTGATCAACAGCAAGTTAAACAATACACTATGTCATAATTAACAAAAATTAGGGAAAAATGCAAAAGCAGTGTTTGAAAAACTAAGTGCTCTTACTTCTTCCATAGTACTGTAGTTGAGAGAATAAGTAGAAACCAGGGTGCTGCTCTTGATCAAGTGATCATCAGCAAATGTGAGCGCCTCTATGAAAGCAGACATTTGGGCAGTTTGGTGGTCTGGAGTGTTAACATATCTGTTAACATGATGCAGAGGAGAAATGACATCAGCAGTGATCTTAAAGAAGGATTATTAGCCTTTTTCCAAGCAATTGGAATTCCATCATTCTGCAGTGTGAAATACTATTCACATTCAAGTGGAAAACATTCCAAACATTTGCCAGTCTTTCCAGGAGTGAACTTCCCAGACTCCACAGGCCTCAGTTAGCATTTTAAATGTTAAAGTTCATGACAGGACAATTAGAAAAAGACTGAACAAGTATGGCTTGTTTAGTTGGGTTGCCAGGAGAATGCTTCTTCCCTCTAAAAAGAACAACGTAGCACAGTTTAGGTTTGAAGAATAGAACAAACCACAGGACTCCATGGGACAGATGAGACCAAAAATTGAGGTGTTTGGCCATAATGCACAACGCCATGTTTGGATGGCATCAACAGATCATATCAGCACAAACGCCTCATACAAACTGTAAAGCACGGTAATGGGGCCGGGTGGGGGTGATCACTTAAGCTTGTGTTGCAGCCACAGGACCTGGACACTTCGGTATGCAGAGGAGTTAATGGACTGCAATGTATTCTACAGTCATTTGTGAGGGCACGTGTAAGCAGAATAACTACAACAGCCTGTCTGAAAAAGAAAAGAATCAGTGTGTTGCAATTGTCCAGACCTCAACCTGACTGAAATGCTTTCCCTTGGTTAAGAGTTATACATAAACAAATACCACAAACCTCAATGAAGTGAAGCAACACTGGAAAGAGGAGTGGGTCAGAATTCCTCCACAATGATTTGAGAGACTGATAAAGTTTCTGACATCATACAGAAAATTATTACTTCAAGTTATTGCTGCTAAAGGTGGCTCTAAAAGCTATTGAATTATGGGATTTATTTAGTTTTTAACACACTGCTTCAGCGTTTTGGCTTATTTTAGTACTAAATAAATAGTGAAACAGTTTAAATATCATAATATTTTTATTATTATGTCCTAATACAAATCTTTAGAATTGACAGTAATTTCTTTTTACCGTGACTGTATTTTTGTCATACATTTTATTTATTTATTTATTCTTCATGCCTTGCTTAGTCTTGAAGCATGCGGGCCAGCCTCCATTTGAACATTCTCCCGTGCGTCTGCACTGTCAGAATGGAGACTACATCACCTTGGACACCAGCTGGTCCAGCTTCATCAACCCATGGAGCCGGAAGGTGGCCTTCATCATTGGGCGCCACAAAGTCAGGACGTAAGTTCCATAAGCATAAAATCTAAACCCCAAGACGACAAAAATGTGTGATGAGGTGTAGAGTTTGGTGTCTGTTGTGTAATCCCCCTGGGTTTCTGTGAAAATGGTGTGCGATTACATGAATGACGCAGTAACAAAGATAACATCACTCTGTTTACTGCCTTTGCCTACAGGAGTCCTCTGAATGAGGATGTGTTTGCTGCTAAAGCAAAGGAGTTTGTTCCAGTAACTCACGAGGAAATAAAAGATCTTCAGGCAAAGATCTATAAGCTTTTCCTACAGGTGAATATGTCGTTGCTGAATAAATGAATTCCAGAAAGCACTCACTTTAAATCCTTTGTTGCTGTAATGCAACAAAGGTGCTGGTATCATGCTGGTATCAGCGTAATAACATATAAAAGCTGATCATGTTTCAGTCCTGTCAGAAAAAGGAAAAAATAAAAAATGATTCATACTAAATGGGTTGGAGTTGTAGTATGTGTGGTTTTTGCTTTTTGGTTGCTGTACACAGGCTGAAAAAAAGAAGCATTAATATCTGTTAAACAGCAGCATTAATCTGTTCTTCCTTGTGTCTCTTCTTTACAGCCCGTTCACAACAATGGCTCCAGTGGTTATGGTAGTTTAGGCAGCAACGGCTCTCACGAGCACTACATCAGCATTGCATCTTCAAGTGACAGCAATGGCAACGTATGGGAGGACTCACACCGGGAACCGGTAAGACATCACAGTGAGGTCATCATCCAGGAATTCACATGTCACCCAGTTGCCTAACTATCTATTGCCATGGTTACTCATGCACTCTTTTGGGGGGTGCTGTGTTCGTCTGTTTGTGTTTTCCAGATGACTTTACAGCAGATCTGTGCTGATGTAAACAGAGTGAAGAGTTGGGGCCAGCAGGCTTATCTGGATTCCAACCACAAAATTGCTTTCCTTGGAAAACGTGTCACAGGTATCGCAGTTTCACATCCACTGAGTACAAAACAGTTAAAATGTGTTTTTTAAAATTGGCAGATATTTTAAATGTTGGCTGTTTATTTTGCCAGCTCCTCTACCCTCTGCAGCCTCCAATGCTGAGGTCAGAGAGCACAAAGTGAGCAGGAAGCAAACACACATTCCCTCCTATCAGCAAATCAACTGTGTGGATAACATCATCAGGTGTGTGGCGATAAACATGACTTTTTTTTTCTGCAGCACTCAGTCCTTGTCATAATATTGACTCCTGCTTTCCCTGTTGGTTTGCGCACGTTTCTTGTGTGTAACCAGATATTTAGAGAGCTGTACAGGTCCAGCCCTCAAGCGGAAGAGTGAATCTCATTCCTTGGTTACCTCTTCTTCCTCATCCTCTACCTCAGAAGATGACAAGCCTGCAGGAGCCACTGACACAGCTCAGGAGAGTTCAGATGGTATAAACCCACACACAGCACATGGCTTAGCATTCTGTTACTTTTAGGGTGAAAGTCTGCAATGTTTCTGTCATATAAACTCGTTTTGCTCCTGGCATTTGTTTTTTCTCACTTTTCAGCAGTCGTGGTGGAGACTGAGGTGTCAGTGAGCCCTCCAACTCCAGCTGTAGTCGGGGCACCTCTTACAGACATCACCATGTCTACTAAAGCCATGAGTGTTGTCTCGGTCACCAGCCAGTGTTCATACAGCAGTACCATAGTGCACGTGCCACAGCCTGAGTCAGGTATATAAACATAGTCTTATATCATGAGTGAGACCTGCTCAGATGCTTCTTTTTTTTTTCTCTCTCTTAATGGTAAAATTTCAAAATTCTCTCAGGAGTTTTGCACACAGAGAAACATTTAGTGCTTTCTTTTGACACTGCCCCCCTTTATGTTTTTCTGTTAGAAGCCACAGCACTGGAGGATGCCCCGATGGGCAGTGAGCCTGCTGATCCTGCCCCAACCCCTGTCCGTCCAGCTCCAAGCCCTGCCGCAGAGGAAAGAAGGTTTGTTGGTCTCACCAAGGAGGTGCTGTCAGCTCACACCCAGAAGGAGGAGCAAGAATATGTGGATCGATTCCGCCATCGCATCCTTCAGAGCCCTTACAGCTCATATCTGCAGCTGGACAACAGCTCTTTGGCTCACTCCCACCACCCAGGTTTGTTGAATATTTCTTTAGCAACGCAGCTGATGTTTTGAAATCTGACAAAGTGTTGGTGCAAATTTTTGTGCAACTTTAATTAGATTCTATGATCTCTATACATTCACTGCAGGAGACTACCTGCGTCCACTGAGTGCCGGAGGTTGGAATCGTTCTCGAAAAGGGAAGCCAAGACACAAGCGTCCCAAACCCCAGGGTTCGTCAGACAGCTATGCCTCCCCTCCTGAACCCGCTCGCCGTGTCCCTGACTCCTCATGGCCCTCCTCAGAGTCCTCCCACCCCCAGGTGGGAGCACCCTACAGCCAAACATCTCCAGTCCAGGTGCCATTCTTTCCTGTAATGGGGAAGCCTGGCCCAGAGCAATCACCCAGGACACAACAGCTGCCTGGAGCAGCTCCTACGGGGCTCCAGCCTCCTGACCAGCTCAGCTACAACTTCAACATAATGCAACCTACTCAGAGCCTGCCAGGCATGCAGCAAATCCAAATGGAGACCATTCAGAATGTTCAGAATACCCAAAACTTTCACAACCTGCAACCCATAGCTCCAACACAGACCTTCAACCCTTCTTTCATGGCTCCAGTCATGGCTGTCATCCTGCCCAACTACCCCACTTTAACCCCAGGTTACCCATCCATTTATCCACAGTCAGCTCAGTCTATACTTCCCCAAATACCCATCACTATGACAGGGTATGCCCCTGTCAGTGCACCTTTCCCTCAGCCTCAGTTCCAGGCCCAGCCTGGTCCCCATTCTCAAACATCCCCAGGCCTTTTACTTTGCTCACCCAGAGCAAGTTCATCTGTCGGCGAAGAAGAGGAAGCGGCTGGGCCTACAGCTTTGTTCTCTAGTTCTCGCTCAAGTTCTCCACTGCAGCTCAATCTGCTGCAGGAAGAACTGCCCAAACCGAGTGAAGGGCAGAGCAGCACCGGGCACAACCACGCCGAGAGCCTCCATGAACAACATGCCAATGAGGTGAGTCAATCTACCACCTTTTATAACAGGTATGGGTTGAGTATAGGTCTGATAGTTTTCTCACTCTAAATTGCCGACTGATTTCTGACCATCTTTTTTATGATTAGCGTGATGTCGCAGGAGAGTCTGGCAACCATGATGCCCAGTCAACATCCAGCGAGCTCCTTGACTTACTGCTTCAGGAGGACGCCAGGTCAGGGACTGGCTCCAATGCCTCAGGGTCTGGATCAGGGGAGTCTGGAGGCTCACTGGGGTCTGGATCTGGCTCCAATGGAACCTCTACTTCACACACTGGTAAGAAAGGCAATATGCATGCATGCAATTCGTGCAAAAACTGCCTTTTTTGCACCATATTTGTAAAGCATAAGTCTAGTTGTTATAGTTTTGACTTTCAGTTTCCAATGTCCGTGTACACCAAGCTTCTAAATGTTGCTGCATGATGCAAACAAGTAAAAGAATGCCATGCAAATGCAAAACAGAGGAACAACATTTTCAGTTAAGAGTAGGATGGAAGGATGTGAATGAATTTTTCCCTGGGTTACAGGCAGCAGCAACAGCAGTAAATACTTTGCCAGCAACGATTCATCGGACACGTCACGCAAAGCTCGTAAGAGTCTGGAGACCCTGGCAGAGCACAAACACACCTTCGAGAATCAGTCGGAAAACTCCCTGTGGAGCATGATCCAGCACACGCCCGAGCGTGTCATGATGACATACCAGATCCACACCAGGTACACCAATACACTTAATTAATAATGGATAAAAGGGAAACGCATTCTTGAGAAAAGCTATTTTGGCATTACAGATTTGTGTGTGGAATTACTTTTGTGTCTTTCTTGTCATTTTCAGAGCGAACTCTGAACACCGCGCTCAGTTTTTTTTTTTGTTTTTTTTTTTTTAACAATTTTTAATGCAAGATGACTTTCTGATGAAAATGTAAATCCAGTTAAAGATTAACAGAAACATGTATTTGTTTAACCCATCACCCATCTCGTTTATAAACTGTAGATATTTCCAAGCTGTCCCTCCAATCGAGTCTGGCCAACAGAGAGAGAGTACATCTTTCAGCGTGGGTCCCGCCTACTTTTCAAACAAGTTTCTAAGCTTTAGGATTCACAAATCACATTTTAGAGCCACATTTGAAGTCAGTGTAATCCATTTGCGATCGAGCTCTCAAGTTTGATTTACAATTGCAAATGCGTTCTGTTTTATAGTAACAGAGGCACAAAAGTAACTAATGCAAGCATGAACAGAAATAATGTCAGCCTGTTCAGTGTATATCAGCATTGCTTTTTCCCCCCCCCCCGTGACACTTTCACAGTGGCCTTTGAAACCTGGTGCTTTGTACTAAAAATCATTTATCTTCAATATAAAGTGAGGATTATACTCACTAGTTGACTGAGTAAGCGCAGTAAGGTTAAAGGTGAGGCTTTTATGAGGCTCATAAAGTCAAAACATGTGCAAGTGTTGTTTCTTTTGTTCTTTTTAGCAGTCATTTTCATGATTCTCAAACACTGTCATCTTATCTAAATGTCTCACCTTGTTTAATGTGGCAAGGTATTTAGTCTTTTTGTCTGATGGCTTCGCTTATTCAAAGCCAAATGGTACAGCAAAAGGGCTACCTGCTGATTTGATTATGTAATAATATTATCTAATCGGGGAGTACAATAAACACCAAAGCCGTCTTCACAGTACTGTGCTTATTTATATTTATACCAGTTAGATGGACTTCTTATGCCTTATACATGTTTTCTTTTTTATTTAACTTTTTTACAAAAGCACAAACAAGAAGACAAGCAATGGGTGAAAAGATATAAACCAAAAGCATACCACAGAGCAGCATGAATCAGCCTCAGAGACTATGAACCGCCTTTTCTACACTGAATCCCTTCAGTTTAGCAGGAATTGGTATCTCTTTAATCCACCTTTAAAAGCAGAAAGATCATGTTGGTTTCCATTCTGATAAACTTAGGTCACTTCTTTGCATTCCCTCAAAGCCCATTTTGATTGGACAGGAGTGGCCAAATTATGTCCAGGTTACATTTCAGGTGTGTCGAGGTGCCATACTGTTTAGAAACCCAAACAAATATGCCCCTCACAGGTGTGAGAATCACCCCTGTGCAATACCACTTTTGTCACACATGGGGGAGACAGTTCATCTTCATGCCCTTTACCTTTTCTTCATCATCCTTTATCATCTCATGCTTTCTCTCCCCGCAGGGACCAGAACAAGGTTTTGGCGGAGGACAGGGAGAAGCTTCGAGTGCTTCAGCCCCTCCAGCCCTGGTTCAGCCAAGAGCAGAGAGTGGAGCTGGCTGAAGTCCATCCATGGATCAAACAGCATGCCATCCCACAGGAAATAGACACACCGGTATCTCCACGAATCACTCACTGTGAACATTTTTGTTTTCGTTTCCTGTGACCGTGTGTTTAATGCGTTGCTGTCTCTCTCAGGGTTGTGTGAGCTGCAGCTCAGGTGCAGGCATGTCCCACCCCACTCACCCGGCTGCACCTGACAGTTCCTCACCTCTGGAGAGCCCTCAGCACGACCCGATTGGACTCGTGGTTGACACTTGAGAACTCTGACCAGAAATCACCCGTCATCAGGTTTACAGTGTGCCAGCCCTGTCAGGAACCTCAACAACTCTCACCATGCATCTCTTTTGACCAGTCTGAAGGAGTGGATCCCTGTGCTTTAGTGTAAAATCTAATATGTTTAATAAAGGTAGCAGAGGCTGGACCAGGCCCTAAGGAACAGAGGAGGCGAGAGATGGGCATTTTCTTTCACTCTGCTTAATGTGGCTGTTCTTATTGGACCATGAATATTACATTTTTCCTTTTATGTGTTAATAGAGCCCCAAATGAGGGGGGTTTAGGCTGTATTTAAGACTGTTCAGATCTATGAACCATATATGGAAAGTGCCCTGGGATAAACATGAGCACTGTGTGTACATCTGGTCTGTAGAACAGGAGTGACTGGTTGGGAAGATGAAGATGGTGCTGGCCCAGAGTATCAGAACATACGTCAAACTCTTCTCCAGTAACACTGAGTCCAGGATGTACAGTATGTGTACTACATCAGCTCCTTCGGTGACATAATTAAGACATTGTGATTTTTGTTTTTTTTTTTTAAATTAATTCACCCCCCACCGAGGGACACTAAGATAAAAACACATTTGCTGCTTTTCTGTTTTAGGACACCTAGATTTGAATATGGTGTTGTTACTGGAATTTACACTCTTGTTCCGTAGGCTTGTTTCCTTCAAAGCGTTCTCATCCCAGGGTATCATATACTGTCGTTCTGGCAATGCGGACATAAACACAAGGTGTTCTTTGTGTAACTTGTACAGAGTAATAATATCTGCTTTAGAAGGCTGTGGTTTGTGTCCTATTTGAAAGCTTTGGAAACCAAAAGGTTCTTGGTCAAGTTTAGGTAAAGATTGTGCTTTTGGGTTCTCAGGGTTAGCCCTACATTGCCATCAAGCAATCAAGCACGTATGATGTCCTGGGAATAAGAATGGGCCGTTTTCCGCATTTTGATCATTTCAAATTGAACTTGGTGCTAGAAGACACATCTAGCCCGTTACTCAAAACTTCCTGTAGCAAGTCCTTTCTCCACCGACCTACCCTGCCCGGTCATCGCCCTGTAATACCTGTAGCTTACCTCTTAATTGTAAACAAACACAGTGTGGCCCCAAATTTCCGCTCATCTTGTGTTTACTAAGTAAATGAATTTCCTTCTATACCCTGCAGCTGTCTGCCTGATTGGATGCATGTTTGTATGAAAGGGAGACCGGGAAGAACTAACTAGCCTCTTGTAGTTCTGTGAATGTTTCGTTTCTTCTTCCTGTACTGAATTTAAATCACAGGTGAGCTTGTGGATGTGTAAAAGTGTGCGTGCTGGCCGACTGCGAGCTGCTTCTTTCAATACACTTGTCCAACAGTGCAAGACAGAACGTGGTTTTCTACCGTTTTTAGATTGAAAGTATATAACAGTATCATGTATTTTATAGGAAATGTACACAAAATGAACTTCACAAAGTGTATAAAAAGCCATTTGTCTTGAATTCAGGGACTGTTTGTGACACAAAGGAATGAATAAATGAGATAAAACCTAAATTGCAGTTCGACATGAGTGTCAGTCAAGTTTTTACGTAACATTAAACTCATGCTCCTGGATTTTATTTTATTTTTTGACTAAAGAAGACCTTCCTCCTAAATTTCATGTTTGAATTTTTAAAGTTGAATTTGATATTTTGTCATTTGAGGAGACTCCTGGGCAGAGCAGGAAATGCTGGAGAGATCATATCTGCTGGCTTAGAAATGAAACTACACAGCAACACACAGTCTGTCTTTTGTTTTTCATTTTTACTGGATTAGCAGTACAGTACAACACAATAGGTAGTTAAATTAGTATCAAGCATGGCTAACTGAGAAAAGCAAAAGCCACAGCAGATGTAACAGCAATCTTTTTTTCTTTAAGAGTGGAGTGTTATTCACACAGAGTACTGCAAGTAGGATGGTGTCCTCCTTTATGTCTTAGACACTGCAATGCTGGGATTTTACTTTGTAGTAGTTAATGCAGACTAAGCTAGGGGGCGCACAACACACGAGAGAAATCAAGTTGATGCCGTCAAATACAAATACAGCAAGCAACATCAGAATATTACAATAATAATAATAAAACCGGGGTACAAGATCTGCTCAGACGAGTGAAAGCAGAAACCCAGGAGTTTTTAAATGGCTAAGAACTTCTGCTCTCTAACTTCCTTTTCCACAATGGGCACTACTTGTGGGATGAACGAAGATGAAGCCCAAAAATAGAAAGTGAGGTAAACATCTATTCTCACACAGAGTGGAAACAATAAAATTTCACCTTCCAGATTTTTTTGTGGTTTTAACTGTAATAAAAACGCCTGCCTGTAAGTACCAGGAGCCACTTGGCTGAATGCAATATTTTGATTTCACACAGTAACAGCAGCAGTGACAGCAGAGAATTTACAACAGCGTTGTTTAACCAACTGGTTTGTATTTTGATTTAACTGCGTTGTTTGAAGTTGTGTGAGACGGTTGCTATACTGGTTATAACATGACTAAATCTTCATTAACTAGTCCAACAAAGGGTAAGAGAAACTGCTGTGAAACACGCCTCCTACATTCACAGAGGAAAAAAGAAGCAGGATGATGCCCACTAAGCAAGTGTACAATAAAAAATATCTGCATCAGAGCGTGGATACAAAACAGAACGTTTCACATATTCTGCTTGGTGGTGAGTGAGCATACAGTTAGTCAGCAGCTACTGGACGCAGTGCAGAGTTATGGTAACACTTCAGTGGCGCTTATGGGAGGAAAAGAAAAAGCAAAATCAGCATAAAAACTTTCTAACTAAAGGAATAATGATTCAGGCTGGAACTTTATCTTAACCAACTCAGAAGTGAGTCAGTTATGTGCGATCTGTGCACACATTTCTCCTTCCTTTCGCAGTCAGGTCAATCTTAGTGCAGTGAAAAAGAATTTTCCCTCTTCCTCATTTCTTAGGATTGTTTTGCATATTTGTCACAGCTATATGTTTCAGATCATCAAACAAAGATAACCTGAATTTTTAAATGATGATTTTATTTATTAAGGGGAAAAAAGTGATCCAAGCCAGCCCTGTGTGAAAAAGTATTCACCCTCATTGTGTCACAACCAGTTATTAGGCAATCAAGTTTCACAATCAAGTGGTTGTGATCATTGTCGATGAGTCTTTGACACCAGTGTGGAGGAATTTTGGCCCACGCATCTCAATCCGATTCAAGTCCCGACTTTGACTAGGCCACTCCAAAACACTTTTTTAAACATTTCAGAGGTGGCCTTGCTGGTGTGTTTTGGACCATTGTCCTGTTGCGAAAACACGAACTGACGATCAGACGGGATTTTTAGGTAGAGAACAGAATTAATTGTTCCATCGATTAGCCAACACTGCCACCACCATGTTCTCTTTATGAAATGCTGTTTTAGATTTACACAACATGTAACGGGACTGAAACCTTCCAAAAAGTTCAGCCTTTGTCCACAGAATACTTTCCAAATGTGAGATGAGACTTTGTGTTGTGTTCAGTCAGCTGTGGTTTTCTCCTTGGAGCTCTCCCACGGATGCCATTTTTGCTCAGACTTATTATTTTTTTCCCAACTGTTGAATCATGAACTCTGACCTTAACTAAGAAAAGTGAGGTCTGCAGCTCTTTAAATGTTGTTCTGGGTTCTTTTGTGAACTCCTGGAGTTGCCCTGAGTTGTCGATGTGCTCTTGGAGCAATTTTAGTGGGCCAGCCACTCCTAGTAAGGTTCAGCACTGGTCCAAGTTTTCTCCGTTTGTGGATAATGGCTCTCACTCTGGCTCACTGGAATCCCAGAGCATTTTTGGATATTTCTTTTTTAAACCAATTAATAAATGAAATCACCATGTGAAAACTGGATTTTGTATTTACTCTGATTATCTTTGTCTAATAGTAAAATTTGTTTGATGATCTAAAACATGTAAGTGTGACAAATACACAAACAAACTAAGAAATGAGGAAGGGGGCATATACTTTTTCACAGTCCTGTTTGTATCTAATATCTACAATTTGGCAACACAAAACCTCAGTGTTCTTTTTCTGAATGTCACAACACAGATTTTTGCAACACTGCGTTTCTCTCTGCGGCATCTCTCCTGACAGGACAGAAGACGGTATGGAGGTGTTTAGCTTGGAGCGCAGCCTCTGGACCAGCCAGTGACTCCAGTTCCACTTCTTTTATTTCACTTAGAGAACTTCTGCATCTCTGCAAGAAAGAAAGATAGATTGAGTTTGAGGAAGAGAGTGTCAGGTGATTCATGATAGATGTTCGCATGTGTCTGCGTACCTTTGTCGAGATCAATGAATTTTGGCTGAGTTTTCACATGGGCTTTTTCTTTCAGCAGGTTGTTCTTGTAGTCTAAACACAGAAAGACCACATATAATCCCATCTGAGAGATGAACCAATATTTTTTTACACTCCACTCTTTTCTTTCTCTTAACTCACCGAATCTTCTTTCCTCCGGGCTGCACACATTCACCTCAGTAACGTCCATCTCAAACTCATTTGAGCAGCTCTGACTTCTGCTGGGCCTATCACAGTGAGGAGGACACACGTGGGTGAAGAAAGCGGTTATATGTGTGTGTGTCTGTGTGTATTGTCAGCACTCACCCCATATACGACTGAGGATACATTTCTGCAAACACAAGAACATTTAATGAGATTCAAAAGAAGGGGGAAAAAAAGCAGATTCTGAGTGATTTATCTGAAATCAGCAGTCAGCTTCACACCTTTGGTCGTGCGTCGTCGTACGATGACGACGATGATGAGGACAACAAATGCCAGGAGCAGGAAGGAGGTGAGGACGTAGCCCAGAGGCAGGAGAAAGTGGTGCCTTTGCTCAGGCAAGATGACGGTGATGACTCGCGGTGATTCAGCCTTAGCTGTCTCTGAGCAATAGAAGAGTGACAGCAGTCAGCATTTCTTTTTCATCTGTTCTTCATCTTTTCCCTCACAAACAAACCGGTGTGTCATTACGTGGTTTACAGATGTAGTAAACAAGACCGGAGCTTCCATTTGAACAGACATTACTCCTGTCGTGAGTGTCACATTGTTTTTTGTTTTGGACAGTGTACCGGCTAAAGACTTGGAGGGAAAAGAAAAAAAACCCCACAGATTTCTGCTGAGACTCATCTTGTTGTTAGTATTTTGTGTTTACACCATAAAGACACGCTCTCCTTGCTGGTACATCTGGTGGCATGGCTCACATGAGACGACCTTTTTTTTTTTTTCTTCCTACACATGTTGTACTAGATTTCCTGCTGTACGACATGCAAAACACGTTATGGAAGTGAGAAATAATTAGTCGTCTTTTTTCTATCTCAGCACGGTTCTGCTGAGTATTCACAAAGAGAGGATCAAGGCGAGTCTGGTTTCATTTAGCTTCATAAGGAAAAAAAAAAAAAAGAGTTAAAAAAGTGCAAGGCAGGAGGCAGCTGCGGACCTCAGACTCAACATATTAAAGCCAAAATGAGATCCAGACTGTCATGCTCTGATTTACTTTTCCTGGCAGTAAAACACAGAAAAGCGACAAGCGCGAGAGAAGTGAAGGAAGCAGTGAGAGCCGAGGGAGAGGAAGGAGACGATGAGATGTTTCTCCAGAGGTATGCCTCACAGAATAAAGCTAGAAAAGATTTCTAGCAGACATCCCAAACACAGCACATGGACACAAAAAAGAAAACATAAAAACAAAACACATCGACGTTATAAATCCTCTGATTGTTTTATAAAGACTTTTTTCCTCCCCTGACATGAGAACATGTGTGTTTTTATTCAAACTGGCCGCAATGACGGTGCTAAAACTCCACGGATAAATAACTCTAATGGGAGGGAGGGAGGGAAAGGGTGACCTACATCTCATTAACCCCATTTCATCAACAAATTCCTCGCTCCCTTCTTGTTCTTCTTTCCTCTCTTTCTCCCTCTGTCTACCTTTCAGTTTGACTTTCTTCTTGTGTGACCAGCTGTTTTGCAGATGAGGCACGCTTCCTGTTCTTGTCCAAAAGCTGCAGAAAATGGCTCCTTTCTTTATATGTGAAGGGAAAAAGTCAGGCGAGCTCATCAAAGCAGAAAAATAAGAAGGACCCGGCAGAAGGCAAACAAAAGTGGGGTAATGAGTGAGACAAATTCTTGCTGAATGCGTGGAGAGAGCCAAAGTCAACACGGCAGCAGACAGCCAGAGGGGGCGAAACGAGAGAGATAAGAAGACATAATACTGCAGTAGACTACTGTAATGTCTGAGAGTGCAGAGGAGCAAGCAACAAAACAGATAAACCAGCACCATTCCCGTGGATAAAATCCTACTTTATTATTACAGCTCTGGGAGCGAAGGATTAATTGAGTGGGCAGATCTGGACTTCAGTCCTGTGACTGTATGCAAGAGATTCCACTGAAATGAGATCGGTCTTCTTGGCATGAACTTTAGGCACACACACATATTTACACACACAGATGGACTCAGCCACAGGCATTTCTAAAGCCGTCTCAATGATTTTCCCACATTGATACATGTGCCATTAGCAACTTTGCTTCAGTTACCTTCTGGAAAAACAAACCCATGCACCAGAAACTCTCTCATTATCGAAGAATTTGAGGTAGGCTGCTGGCAAGCCATCGTGCCAAACACCCCTCCTCCTCCTCTCCACTGTGTCTTTTCTCTTTTACTGATGTCCACCCAACGAAAGAACTTTTCAGACCAGGCAAAGAGTTGAGAAATTTGTGTGGACAAAGCAATCCCTACAAACCTTAAATGTGCAACTACACACATACGTGAAATTTAGACAAACGTGAAAAGTGGCGAGGGTGAGGCTTAGAGGGTTTTGGCGGAGGTTAAAAGGCCTGGCATCAAAGAAGCTGACAGTGCAAGAAAGAAGAGGGTCTCTTCACCCACACCCTTTCTTTTTTTTCTTCCTCTGCTGCTACTTCTTTTGTAGAGTGTGAGTCAATGAATGAGGACAAAACAAGACGGGGTTAGTGAAGGAAAGAGCAGATGTGTATGTTTCCCCTTCTCCTAATCGTACACATGATAGTTCAAATCCACCAGGTCATAAAACATTCTCTCTGCTAAGATACTCATGGTGACAAGAGCAGGAAGAAAGAGACTGTGTGTTTGTGTTTTTGTGAGTTACCCTTGTCTTCGCTGGGCAGTGATTTAGCCGGCATTGTTGGCTTAACCAGCGAAGGCTCCACTGTGACCTGAAATACTCTTCTCTCGTGGAGACCACAGTAATGATGGTGGAGGTGGCAGGAATACAGCCCCTGGTCTGCTGGCTGTCAGAACACAAATACATATTAAACTATATGTATATAAAGTCAAAACCCTAAAATGGGTTGTTGTTAGCAGACAGACAAATGGAAGAAAATATCAAAGAAGAGTGAAAAATAGGACCGAGATTGTACAAAGGGCATCAGTACAAACTGTATTAATATTAACAATATGAACTATACAAATATAATGAATTTAATAGAAATTAAATCCAAGTTTATTAAAAGACTGAATTCTCTTTAAAGATTTTTTTTCACATCAATATTTTATTTTCACTGTGTAATGAATCGTGGCTAGAAAATAAGCCCGTAATCAAATGTTGCTAGATTGTTTTATATCAGCCACCCCACCTAAGCCCATCCCAGTGGCTGATCTGATCTAAAAAAAAAGATTTTGGTCTTAGATTGTGAGATTAAATGTGTTTTATCTATCCTCTGTACTCAACAAGGGATCGATACAGGCTCAAAAATGCTGGAAAAAAATATTACATGACTTACAAGCTGCAAATCTTCAATCTGGCAGTAAAATTTTGCGTCGCATCATTAACACTAGTAAAATTACAGTAGAAAAGAAATCAGCTGGTTCTGAGAAGATTAGATAGGAGGTCCTCACTCATTTTTCATGGAATGACCCTTTAGATTTTTTTTTACAACAAGACTTTCTTGAATAAGAGTAAAGCTCTGTGATTATACAGTACTGTGCAAAAGTCTTAAGCAATTCCTCATTTCTTCATATTTTGCTAGGAAAATGTGAAATAGGTCCATAGGTTATTATAAATGGAGATAGAGTATATTAGGGGTGATCGTGGCTCAAGAGTGGGGAGTTCGCCTTGTTGCCGGTTCGAGTCCCGGCTTGGACAGTCTCGGTCGTTGTGTCCTTGGGCAAGACACTTCACCCGTTGCCTACTGGTGGTGGCCAGAGGGCCCGGTGGCCTCTGTCAGTGCGCCCCAGGGAGGCTGTGGCTACAATGTAGCTTGCCATCACCAGTGTGTGAATGTGTGGGTGGATGACTGGTTGTGTAAAGTGCTTTGGGGTCCTTAGGGACTAGTAAAGCGCTATATAAATACAGGCCATTTACCATAAGACAAAAACAGTTTGTACATAATAATAAGCTTGAAAGTTAATATTTAGTATGACCACTATTATTCTTCAACACAGCCTGAACTCTCTAAAGAAAGCTTTTTTTGGGGTCGTTTTTTAAAGTAGTTCTCAGGAATAGCTCTCCAGAATTTTGTTCTATTCTCGGCCACAATGATCCAACACTGCTTCAATAATGTTGAGGTCTGGGCCATGACTGATAGTGTTGCATTGGGCGTTTTTCTATCCAGGTATGTTTTTACTGCATCGTCAGTGTGTTTAGAATAATTGTCATGCTTTCCAGATGTATTGCATCATGGATCCGTCCAATAACATCTGTGGGTCTTTGACAAGATTCCCAACACCACTGGCTGAAATGCAGCAGGAAACCATGACAGAGGCTGTACCATGTTTTACAGATGGCTGTAGATACTCACTGTTGTGCCCCTCTCCTAACCCTGTTCTTTTATAATTTGGCGTACCTTAGCCTTTTCTCCCTGCGCCACCTCCTTAAAAATTGTTTCCTGACACAAATTTGGCCATGAATTAAAAGCGTTACTTGACAATGATCATGATGGTCATTACATCAGATCCAAAGTCCAATCGAAACACTGGGGTAGTCAGCTAAGGATCTTTGGGCTTTATAATGGTGAGAATAACAGCTGAATAATGCTACTAACTACAAATCATCAGAAAGGGAAAAAAAATGTATGACATAATCATAACTTATAACCAATTCCTTGGGTCCTACATGTGCAAGACTAAAAAAAAACAATATTGCTCAATAGACTAACAGGCAAACCTGTTTACTTTCACCACAGAGTTGAACAGCAGAATTTAGCAACATCTGGGAATTGTCAAAAATACATTTGTGCAAGAGTCAGAAGTGAATTGTTGATACAAATTTTTTCAAACACCCCCTCAGTTCATGCTCTGTATGAAACAAGCTGTTTTAGCTCCTTTAAGGGCACTCTGTGAATTCAAGAAAATCCGAAATAAATTTAAACTGTGCATCAAAATCTTATTTTTTTAAAAGTTATTGAAGATTTTACATGTTGTACAGTCATTAAACGCTGGAAACACAGGACAGTTTAAAGAAAGCATTAAAAGCATTCATGAGTGCATGTAAATGCCTGACCACAGCTGTATGTAAGACAGAGAAAAGAAAAAAAATTAGGCCCATGTTAAACACATCTGTTTTCATGCATCAGAGAAGTTGTGCCGTTACACACAACGGATATCTGAGAAAAAAAATTGTGTTCATTTTGAAAATATCTGCCTATGGTTTTTTGTAGCTGACCAGAAAACGGCTCCCTAAAGTTTCCCGAGCCTGTATATAAATGAAATGTTATGATTTATGAGATCTGTTTGCTATTATAACAAATGGCAATAACTGTTGCTGTTGGGGTTTTTTAAAACTGCATTGGTTGCCCAACATATTGTGGTTTAAAACCTCATTTTTCCCAATGGAGCAATAAAGTTTGACTTGAAAAGAGATGCATTACTAATGAAAGTTTCATCTGTTCTGGAAACACTGTTTACATGTATACACACAAATACACGCTTTTGCAGACGCTTTTATGCCAAGAGCATTGGACCACAGATTTGTTAAAGCACAGATGAACCTCATGAGAAGTGAGCCTATACCACTTTTGTTTAAGTAGCTCTCTTTTAAAAAGCTCACACATACGCACCTGCAGGTCAGATATGGTGAGTGAGAAGTCTCCTTCGGAGAAGGCGTGATTGCTGATATTCATCTTCCTCTGAAGGAACAGAGGTCCATAGCTCCGCTGCTCCCCAGAGGCGTACAGGTCCACAAGCCGGTCAGCTCGGTCATGGGAAATTCCTGGAGCCTGACGGTCCCAGTGAACCACCTGAAGAGCCAGATATATCAGTTAATGTACAGTTGTAGTTAAACATTTACACATATTAATTATGAGCATGAATGCAATCATAATTTTGGACTTTTAATGATTTCTTTTCCAGGGTGGAATGATTGTACAGCATACATCTTTAATGATTAAAACAAAAAACAAAACAACAAGAACAGGGTGCACAAGTTCTGAATTTATTTAGGATTTTCTCAAATCCTCAAGTCAACACACACTTAATTCAATCTTTTAATAAGTAGTGCTGAAAGTTCTACAATGTCTTTTAACAATGCCAAGGCCTATTAACCCCTTGTTTAACTTTTTGTTTGTGATCATGATTGATGACAACCGATAGTTTATCTTTGGCAACATAAAAAGGATTTGTTTGGCAGCATCCATTGGACTGACCAATACTCAGAACAACAGGAAACTCCAAGGAACTCAGTGAAAATCTAACAAGGAGAACTGTAGATTCACACAAGTAAGGTCTCTTGGAGCCATTTCTAAAACAACTGCTTAATCCAAAATCATCACTTAAAACAACTTTATGTATGTACAAGTTATTTGGATGCATTATTAATTTGCCAAGATGTGGGCAAAGACCCAAACTGTCTTGGCAAAGGCAATTTGGGTCAGTTTGGGCAAAGACAGTTTCCCTCTGATGAGAGGAAATTGGTGAGGATGTTCTGGAACTACCCAGGAATCACCAAGCATCAAGCCTGATATTAACTGGAAACTGCTGGAAGACCAGCATCACTGTCCATGGTGAAGTGAATTTTAAATCACCATGTACAGAGAGGGTGCCGACCAAGAAGGAAGCTCCTGCTCCAAAATAAACTCTTTTTTGCAGCTGTCCATATGGACCAGTCAAATGCCTTCTGGACAAAAATAAGACGGTCAGATGAGACAAACATTAAACTCTTTGGATATAATGAGAAGCGGGATGGTTGAAGAGTTAAAGGTAAGGCTTTCAAACCTAAGAACATTGTACCAACTGTCAAGCACGGTGGTGGCCATCATGCTCTGGGGCTGTGTTGCTGCTAGTGGTACCGGTACATTGTACAAAGTAGATGGAATAAGAAAGAAGGAGGATTGCCTCCAAATTCTTCAAATTCACCTCAAATCATCAGCTAAATGGTTGAAACTTGGACACAGTTTGGTGTTTCAACAGGAAAATGATCCCAAACACGTCAAAACTGGTTTTGGAATAAATAAAGTAGATTAACATTAAGCAACTGGAATGGCCTTCCCAAATTCCCGAACTCACCTCATTGAAATTTGAGGACTATGCTTAAAAGATGTCTCAATCAACCAATTAAATAACCTCTACCATTTCTGCCAAAAAGAGTGATTTGCACTCAGTTCTTGTCATTAAAGTCATTAAACATGTATGCTGTACAATTGTTACACCCTGGAAAAACAGTTCAAAGAAATAATCCAAAGCAGATTAACCAGGACATGTACATGTCAATTGTAATGTTAAAAACAAATGTTAGCTCTTGATCTGTCTCGGGAAACAAGTAGAAACACCTGCTGATCCTCCTCCTCGTCGCTCCAGTCTGTCCACACACTACGTCGGTTGATGCACGGCAGCACTGCAGTGCTCCCAAGCAGCACCACGTACACGGCCTTATGCCCATCCCAGTATCGCTGTTCTTTACGGCCTTTGTGGCAAAAACAAGTCAAAGGGGTTTGTGGATTAATACTAATGTACTTCAGCTCACATGCTGATAGCTGATAGAGTGTGATACATACGTGATTTAGTGACATTGAGCTGAACTCTGAGTGTCTCGTAAAGGTTGCAGTAGAGATGGTGGAGGTTGCAGGAGTACAGACCTCGGTCATTCATCGTCACATCTGTCATCACATGTAGAAGTACAGCAAATCAAGCATGGCCACTTAGGAAACAGAAGTGCAAAACTTCATATTAAAGCAAACCTTTTTCCAAAACCTTTTAGATTTAATGGCATTTTGTTTCATTATCAAGTAATGTAGTTTATAGAGGCTTCATATTTATTCCTTTGTGTGGCATTTAGGTATCTGTGAAACCTTTGTTGACTCTGTGTTTGAGATTTGGTGTTGGATGGTAATCTATGTAAACTGGGCATTTTAGTTTTTGGTAATGGGGTGGCAATGGGGACCAGTTGCGCACTGATGGGAAATCAGAGACAAATACCGAACTAAATCACTTGAAAAATTTCCACACAGAGCTTTAATGATTTTAATCATAGCCAGACCGACTGCCTCTATTAGAAGACATGGTTGCCCTGTAACAGTATAGTGGTCACACTGATGCAATTTAGCCATACCTCTGCATGGAAGAGAGGTGATAAGGGGATGATATCTGATTGTGAGGGGAGTGTGTCAGGATGCATTTGGCTTTCTACCCTAACAAATATCTAGATGGTCTTTGATTTTAACTGCATTTCAGTGGCAATGATTCACCTTTCTTTTAAAATATTTGTCTACATACTTAATATGTGATCTGAAATATTTGTTATAAGAACATAACAAGCAAAGCCACAGTGAGACACACCAACAAAGTAATGTTGGCCAGTTACAGTTACACATGAAAGACAAAAACAGAATGTGTCTGTATGTGTGTGTGACCTTTGATAACCAGGGAGAAGTTTCCATCTTTGAAGGCTGTCGGGTTGAGACCAACCCTGCCCAGATTGTAGGAGTTGTACATCCTTTGTTCTCCTGCCGAGAACATGTCCACTACCCTTTCCATGGCGTAGTCCGGATAAGCCCGGTACATATCCCAGTGGATCACCCTCTGCCTGTCTCTCACCCTGTCCCTGGTCCACACCATCCGGCTGCTCACACACTGCAGCACCAGCTTTGAACCAGCGCGGGAGCTCACATTATAACCTGCCACAACCACGCTGCTGCTCTCAGCCTGACATGACACTGACAAAGGACAGACAGGGTGTAACATTTTTAGTACTCATGGACACATAGATCACATGTGCACACACACAAGGAGAAACCTACCTGCAGTGAAGAAGCAAGCCACAGGGACTGAAAAAATAAAACAAAAAACAGTAGAAATAAGCAAAAGGGTTAATCACTTAAACAGATATTCAGACCAAATCTGTAGGTCCCTGCATCTGAAAATGCATGTATGTGTGTGCATGTGTGTGTGTAGGCAATTTACTGCCGGTGTAAACTAATATATATTGCTATCTGGAAACCCTTTTGGGCTTTGTTTTTGTACTGTGCAGTTAGGTCTGATTGAAATTAACCCTCCCTCAGTGTTTCTCATCTCCGACGAATGTATCTGCACTGTAAGTGTGGACGGAAGTCTGGTTTTAAAATCAGCCCAGAAAGGTCAAATACATCAATCTACCTTAACGACACTAGAAACAAACAAACAAATCTTTAACAAATCTTTCAAACGTTCTTTCACCTCAGAAAAAAAGGAAAAACGAGGAAAAGTTACTTAGTAAAATATATTTTTAATTTCTTTAGAGTGTTCTCCACTGCTGAGTCCAACTTCTAAAATACTTTAACTCACGAATGCAAAGTCTATCCACGCTTACAACAAAAGCAAAACAGTGCTTCACTCCAGCCTACTTACTGTGGATCAAGAGGAGAGTCTGAAAAATGATGTCGTCCCTCTTGGTTTTCATCTTTTCAGTTTTAAGCCGATAAGTCAGTGTTCTGCACCTGGCAGTCCGCCCTGAGCATGAGAAAATATGTCCAGCCTGTCTGTTCGCAACAACAACCCGTCAAGGTTAGTCACATTTCAGAGTTTGGAGAGACCTTCGCTGCCACAGCATTAAGTTAGAGCTTCACCACAGAACCAAAACAGAACCGAGCGGAACTGAAATCAGTCGGGAAATGAAACCCGACACCGCCAAGTAAACCTCCTCTCACAAAACCCCCGACTAATTAGCCTACAATAAAAAAATCTCAAGAGAGACTTTTGTTTTTACACTTACATTCTCTTACTTTTCCACTTAGTTGTGTTAATAGCTGTACATCATTACTTTTGCAGTGGTGACATATTGGTATTAGAGCACATTTCAAAAGCCACACTATTTTTCCAGTAGCACTCAGCATAGTAAGCCAAACAATCATTTCCAAGAGCATAGCAGATAACTTAGCGACGACTAATCTCGATAGGCTGCCAGGTGCATTTAACCTGATGAAGAAATCAGACAAATCAACAGGTCATCGTCTCTTCTAATTCAGCTCAATGACGACACCCAGCGGTTGGTTCCGCTCTCAAGTGACCACAATAATTTAATAAATTATACTGTGTTTTGGAGCCCATTGTGCCATTTTGTCACTACGAAGGCCAAGTTCGACATTCACGTGAAAGACATTAAAATCCCATCGTCACAAAAGAGGCGTTCCCATACCGGGAGTCGAACCCGGGCCGCCTGGGTGAAAACCAGGAATCCTAACCGCTAGACCATATGGGACACTGTACTCGCCAGCCGTGCAATGTTGCATAATACATGTACGTAAACGCATGGCACCCAACGATCATTACCTTTGTCTGTTTTTGTTAAGTTGTATTCTTGTTATTCTGATTTGCACGAATTGGAACAATTATTTGTCTTCAGTAAATTTCATTAACAATTTGTCTTCAGACAAAAAGAAAAATTATGATTGTAGGAAACAACATCGTGTTTTCAGGCAACATTACCCAGCTTTATTTTTCCTAATTTTTCACAAATACCAGTATTATAATGTGCTTTCTTGTTTTTGAATTTTACAAGTAAAAACACATAATAACAACCACAAAATCAAAAGCTTTTAAATTCAGAGTACATAAATAAAGTTAATTTAATGAAGTATATTTTGACTTGGAGACGCGGAACATTAGTTAGGGAATTGCTAACAACCGGTACGTTTGGATGTAACACACCAAACGCTTCCTCTGAAACAAGCGAACTCATTGAAGGGTTTTTGGCTGAAGGTAAACGAGCCGAGCAAGTGAAGTTATTTTGAATAATACTGGGAAATTGTACACATATATTTCCCCGGACATTGTTAAGCTGATGGAATTTTGATGTTTGATGTATATTTGTGTCTAATATGCAGTTAATTGTGTAATTGGTTGCGCTGTTAGCTAGCACGCCTGCTCGATATCACCGCTAACTGCAGCTAGCAGATAACCCGGTGTCACAGCAAACTTGAAACCAAAAACTAGAATCAGCTCTCAATATTTGCTTTAACTTGTTGGTACTGTACAGAAATCTTACACAAATAACGCATCTATCTTTTTCTAGATCCTGCGTTTAACGTTAAAAGATGTTTTTGACCAGATCGGAATATGACAGGTAGGTGCAGCACAAACTGCTTTGTCATTTATTGAGCGCTTAACAGAGGGAAATGAACAAACGAACGAGAGCACACGGGTGTTTTATTGTCTACCCGAGAAAGAAAGCCCGGTTAAACGCCGAAAGAAAATATAGAAAATACTGACTTCGTTAAACCCTTATTGTAACAGTGTCTCTACAGCTTGTATCAGCTAGCGGCTAATAATCAATGTTAGGAAAAAGTTGGTTTGCTTTCACTTTCGGTATGCCATCCTTTTCAAGATGAGCGTTTATTTACTTTACTGTTATGAGGGAATAGACGTGCAAATAATAATAGTGAAAAATAACGTTTACAGCTATCTTTAATATATTAAGCGTTGTTAAAATTTCTAAACTTTAATTTCTGTTTTCCAGAGGTGTGAACACATTTTCTCCTGAGGGAAGATTGTTCCAGGTTGAATATGCCATAGAGGCAATAAAAGTGAGTACTTCACAGGAATCTTTAACTATTTCTGTGCGGTTATTAAACAAAGTGATTATATTCAAGCTCATCTATTTTCTTTGGCCTGGCTTTGCTCTTCTAGTTGGGCTCCACAGCCATCGGTATCCAGACTTCAGAAGGGGTATGTCTGGCTGTGGAGAAGAGGATCACCTCTCCCCTGATGGAGCCCAACAGCATTGAGAAGATCGTGGAGATTGATAGTCACATTGGTAAGTGGAAATGGACCATGACAAAGGATTAAGGCTTTTGTTGACATAATATTACTGGCTGTTTTTTGTAATGAGAAAAGATATCCAGTCAGCTAAATCAGTTAATTGATTCTTTGATTAAAATTGGACTTGAAATGCATGTTATTGTTTTTGTTTTTTACACAGAAATCCAGTGCAATATTGTTAAAGAAAAAGAAAAGCAAAAATATTTATTATTTTCTTTTTAGCCCAGAAAATATTATTATTAATTGAATGTACACTTCAATTTTCAAAAAACTTTTATTCCCTTACAAAAAGAGAAATGTGGACAAAAGCAACTGAAACCGTCTAGCTCAATAGATTGAAACAACCTAAAGAGTCATTCCATGTGAATTCATTAAATCTTAAAAAAGATTCCAGCCAGACCCTCTCTGATTTACTTCAGAGCACTGATTTTAAATATTTTTGCAATTAAATCAGAGCCATTTAAACCAAGCATTGCTTAAACCAAATATTATTAGATTTAGTTTTTTGGCTGATATAGTTTGTGTGACAATATAGACCAAATTAAAGCTGTTAATGAAATTATTTTTGAAAGCATCATCTCTTTATTTGGTCCCTTTGCAAGACTGTAAAGCAGAAAATAGATAAATAAACATTTTAAGTAAACAAAGTGCCATTAATAGTACTTTACACCAGAGAATATCACTGGGCTACTCCATGTAAAGATTGGTGAAAATATCTTAAAGTTCTCTTTTTTCTTTTTTTTTCCCCCAAATATTTTGTGATTGTCAGTGTGTTGTTTTTTTGTTTTGTTTTGGGGTTGTTGTTTTTTTTGCAGCCCTCTGTTTAAGGGAGAGTATTCATCTTTTTAAAAAAAAAACACCTCGAGAAATGATTCTCTTTCCTTTGCTTCAGCAAAAACTCTTTGGTATAAGTGGCTTAAATTAGTCAGAACACTGTCTCGCAAAGCTAAGCAAATCAAGTCCCTAACTTTAATTTTCACACTGTTGTTGTAGCTGTTTCAGACAAATTTTAATCATCCACATTCTTGCACAGTAAAGCTTTCCTTCGGATTACACGAAATTTCATCTCGTTTGTCTCACTTTGATGGTGAAGAGTCTTGCTTTAGGCCACAGCTTGTGAAAGATAAATGCAGGTTTTTAGTTTTCTTTCTTTTCACGTCTTAGGCTGTGCCATGAGCGGCTTGATAGCTGATGCCAAGACTCTTATCGACAAAGCAAGAGTGGAAACACAGGTATGATTTCAGAGCACAGCGCTGTATAAGGCATATTTAGAGTGCTGTGTTTATCTGCGGTTAACCTGTATGTGCTCTGTTTCAGAACCACTGGTTCACTTACAATGAGACGATGACAGTGGAGAGTGTGACTCAGGCTGTGTCCAACCTGGCGCTGCAGTTTGGTGAGGAAGATGCAGACCCTGGTGCCATGGTGAGTCACTCAGCCAGTGTTTGTGTTTTAATTTTGAGATGCAGACCTAAAAAGTTTGATGTTAAACTTCTATTTGTGTCTTTGCTTTGTTTTAAACAGAGTCGACCTTTTGGTGTAGCGCTTCTGTTTGGGGGAGTTGATGAAAAAGGACCTCAGCTGTATGTCAAGATAATTGTTTATTTTTAAAAAATAAGGGATATTTGCTTGCTTTGCTTAAACACATGTATCGTTTTTTTGTGTGTGTGTAATACAGGTATCACATGGACCCATCAGGAACTTTTGTGCAGTGTGATGCTCGGGCCATCGGTTCCGCATCTGAGGGAGCACAGAGCTCTCTGCAAGAGGTCTACCACAAGGTAATAACAGCCATGATACCATAGCATTGTGCCAACCATATACCTGCATTACACGCTGTGTAATTCACTCATGTTATCCAGTTAAGTACGGTACTCCTGTGTTTTCTTCACACTCCCATGTCATGCTGGAACACAGCCTGCTTCAGCGGTCAGATTGAGTCCACTTAGCTGGTACAGCTGATGAGGATATTTCAATATCAGTGTCTCAACTTCCATCACTCTGTTGCTACAAACATACAAATAGTTTTCTTGGACATTTGTCCAAGATGGGAAACCAGAAGTTTAAAAAAAAAGGTAAAAAAAAAAAAAAAGCACACTCTTAAGCTACTTTGGCCACAGCACCCAAGAAATGTAGAAAAAAAAAACCTGTCTCAGCTTCCCAAAGCTTCAGCTGAAATATTTAAAACAAAATTTCTGGAGATGCCACATCTGTCTGTCTGCGCTCGTCCACTAAACAGTGATGCAGTTCCTGGTTTGTGGAATAACCATAAACTTGTGGCTGGGATGAATGATCGCTGTGCTGACTAATTTAGGTTTTGGTTAAGCGACGTTTAAGGAACATGAAATAAATCAGTCAGCACAGAGAAGTATTGAAAAACGTTGACAGACATATTTTAGACATTTATGTCTGGTATTAAATGGTCATAAATGGCGAGAACATACATTTTGTGTGTTCTACTTATGTATACTACACTCACAGGCATTTATAATTTAATATATGGCTTAGCTGGCAAGGGACAATTTAAAATATGTCCCACGCCTTAGAGAGTTACAGGGAAGGTTTGACTCAGGTCATTTAACATTTTGAATATAGTAGGGCTGCCACGATTAGTCAACTAGTCACGATTACGTCGACTATCAAAATCGTCGACGACTAATTTAATAGTCGACGCGTCGTTTGAAGCTTTGTAAGATCACAAAAGACGCAGGAATAAGTAGTAGGATTTAAGAGTGTAATAACGGAAACAGAAGATGGCAGCACTGCATGTAAAAGGATGCCAGCTGCCGTTAAACCCCAAAGAAGAAGAAGTAGCTCTGTCCCAGAATTCATAGCGCAGTTTCCAACAGTTTCCAACAATAGACCCTGTGCACAAGAAAATGCTAACTTCCTGGTTTGAGACCGGATGTGGGGTTGTACATTTCCGGTAGCTTTACTTTGCGGTCAATCGCTACTGCGAAGATATACTCCAAAATCATGTCCAAAACTCGAAAACGAAAAGATCGCGTTAAGTTACAAGGAGCAGAAGGTGGGAACACTCACCACTGTTGTGTCATAAAAAAAAATCTAATGATCAAAAAAGCAAAAAATGAAAAATTGCTGAACGATTGCTGGTAACGGTTTCTATATATTAGTATTTACGAAGGGTATGTTGTGACTTACCTTCAAAATTACAGCAGTCCCTCGCTATAACGC